CCCTTTTTCTAAAGAAAATTAATAAAATATATAATAATAATAAAAAAAAAGAGAAATGAGATACAAGTAAAAAAAAAAAATATTCCATATACTGTTTTCTATATGTTAGCTTATTCATGGCTAAAGCATCAAACTATATATACTTGTATCTTTTTCAAATACTATATGTGTGTATATATGGGAAAACATACCCAAAGTTATAGGGCAGCACAGTGGCTAAATGGTTAGCACTTCCGCCTGTCAGTACTAGGGTCATTGGTTCAAATCCCAACCATGGCACCACCTGCCTGGAGTTTGCATGTTCTCCCTGTGCCTGCAGTTTCCTCTGGGTAATCTGGTTTCCTCCCACACTCCGACTTATCTTTTTCAAATACTATATGTGTGTATATATGGGAAAACATACCCAAAGTTATAGGGCAGCACAGTGGCTAAATGGTTAGCACTTCCACCTGTCAGTACTAGGGTCATTGGTTCAAATCCCAACCATGGCACCACCTGCCTGGAGTTTGCATGTTCTCCCTGTGCCTGCAGTTTCCTCTGGGTAATCCGGTTTCCTCCCACACTCCAAAGACATGCTGGTAGGTTAATTGGCTCCTGTCTAAATTGTCCCTAGTATGTGTATGTATGAATGTGAGTTAGGGACCTTAGATTGTACACCCCTTGAGGGTTAGGGACCTTAGATTGTACACCTCTTGAGGGTTAGGGTCTGATGTGAATGTACAATATATATATAAAGTGCAGTGTAAATTGACAGCGCTATATAAGTGCCTGAAATAAATAAGTGGGTTAGAATTCAGCAATGGTCCAGCAAGCACACAAATGTATTTTATAATGCCTCTCAGTTTGGAGCTGATAGCTAATGAATCGGACATCCCTCATTATCTGTTACTGATCTGTACCAGCTGGAGGCTTTTCTTTTATGTACCTCAAACAGGGGCTTTGACATTAACGTTCCAAAGATGTTCCATGTTTTGCATTTCACTCAAGTTAGGGAAAAGAAAGTGTATAAATATCTCCTGTAGGAAATTGCTCTTATGTTACTGCACCACCATGTGGTTATTCATTGACATGCATGCAGACTTGCTTTTGCGATTAAAAAGTTGTGTTAGAAGCCTCATGGGGCCTATATATTCATGATACTTCTTTTATTGCATTTTTTTTTAAACTTTTAAACACAATTGAATTTTCAATACCAAATTAAAAAAGAAAAAAGTGCCATTTACAAAAAACACCAAAGTGTCAGTAGCATATCCCACCCAAAATAAATTTTGGCAACAATAATCCTAATTAAAAAGGTATGCGCTAATAACAAACTTATACAAAGGTGTATATCATCATCCAAAAAAAAAAAAACATTTCGTGTTTTAAATAAATAATTATAGTGTCCAAACATAAATTAGTGTCCAAAAAAAAATAACGTACCTTGATGACGTCGGTGTGACGAAACCAGTTGGGCCGTGACCTACATGATGTGGACGTTAGAGAGCCTTGCTGTTCTGTGCTGTATGGGAGAGATCTGCGGTGAGCGGTAATTGTATCTCACCCCTTTTTTGCGATTGAAGCTGGTGTCTGTTGGACACCTTGTTTGTGAGTTTCCTTATACCTTTTTTATTAAAGAGATAAATGAAAAAAACGTATTGCACCATTATGTTCTCTTTTTTGTCCCTGAGTGTACTGCATGCTCTCATGGAGATATGAGAGAGTGGAGAAGTTCATCGTAAGAGCTTGGGCTGCAAAGTTGTTTGTCTGTGATTATTATTATCTGGAAGTGTCTGAAACATCACCATATCTATTTGGACATCGGGTTCATTGCTCCCAGAGCACAAGCGCTGTTGCTGGTTTATAATCTGACCAGCCATTAGCTCTGGTGAGTTCATTTAATCTCCTTTGGTGGTGGATTTTCACAATTAATCGAATTTTCAGTCAGCTAAATACATTTCAGATGCAGAAAGTGTGCAAAGTCTTACAATGGTTTTCGTTTCGGCTGCTTGCTCACCACCACACCATTGGACCACCAGCAAAGGAAGCCACTGGTGCTCGATCCTGAGCCACACTGCCTGTGTTGATTGACACAGGTAGCGGGGTACGGCCCCACCCAGCTCCTTCGTCACAGGATATGACTGACAGCAGCAGGAACCAATGGCTTCCTCAGCTCCTAGCCAAGCCTGTGAGAGCAGGGAGATGAGGAGAGAGCCGTCATTGAAGATGAGCACTGCTCTGGATTGAGCGAGGGGGGGGAGGGTGCAATTCTTTAACCTAAGCATTTTTTACCTTTAATGCAAGGAATGTATCAAGGTACAAAATGTTTAGGCTGTACAACAACGTTCATAAAAGCTTTAGTGAAATGTTAGGGAGGAGAAAAATGTGGGATGCCATCACTGGAAATGATTTTTGTGTGTCCTGCTGCTCCTCCTCCTGGCTAAAGTTTTTTTTTCCCACTTTCCACTAGCTGTTCCTTTCCCTTAATTCAACCCTAAAACAATTCAGCTCAGCTGGATTCTAATGGTAGTGCTGATGGCCACTTTATACAAGCTGCTAGCAGGCTTCAGAACTTCTTAAATCTTGCTGAAAGCCTGCTAGCAGCTTGCTTAAAGTGGAAGAGGGGTAAAACATTTAGTTTAAGGTGCGTTCATTACTATGCCCCCCCCCCCCCCCCCCCCCCCCCCCCCCCCCCCCCCTGCACCTTCTATTGATATTTATGGAATTGCATCAAAATGCATGTCAATACACATCTTCAAGGTGCCTTGCAATCCACTTGGGGCCCATTTACACCACTGAGTTGCATTAACATGTGATATAATGTGTATTAATGTTCCCTACATAAATTAAAAATGAATGGGTTGCCAGTGCACCTGAAATACTGTATGTACCATTCTCGGTTGCGGACCGCACTATAGCACAGCAATGCAATACTATCTATTAGCAAGGAGAACTGGGGTGAGATTCAGAATGAATGGAACTGCATCGCACAAACACGTGTAATGTGCATTGCCACAACTTGATAGAGAATGGGCCCTTTGTATTGAATGTCATCGTGCACCATGATGTATTTGCATACTTTATGATGCATGTTGATGTTCATGGAGATGCATTGCTGCTGATAACATGCATTGCCACTCATATACTATAACATGCTTCATTTACCTAGCATATAGTAGTAGCCATGTCATAAAAGTGTATTGAATCTTTAAAAATCTCAGTGGATTCCAACAGAATCATTAATTTTGTTCCCCTTTTCTTTTTTTTCGCACTGCTGTCTAATCCTAACCCCTATATTATTTTTTTTTCTCCAGATTTCCATATTTTCCAGTTACTGGAATTTCAGACCATATTAAGCCTGCTCATGCCCTTTCCTTTTGTCATCATCATCCTGCTGTCTGTAAACAAGAGTAGTCCTTTAAGGAAAGAGAAGTCCGGTCCTATATGTCCTATAGTCTCTAAGCAGCTGTAGAAGATCTGCAAGAGCATCCATGCCATTGGATCTCCCAGGACTCGTGAACTCTTGTATCGGCTGTCTTTGCCCCAAAGACACTGCATCCCCCATCTTTGGGAAAGGCGGACCACAACTTGGGACACTACACATGAATGTTGTAAATTGATGTATATGTATTTTATTTATTTGCTTCTTCACAGCATTTCATCACTAAGAAGGGACTTTGGTTTATATGTTCTTTTGTGGACGTGACTGCATTCCAACGGCCAGGGAGGTGACTACGTAAGCGTGTTCGCACAGTAGGCTCGAATTTGGTGTTCTGGGAACTCCATCACTAATCTCTACGGGGGAGTTCCCAACTCCACCCAGCTGGCATAGCTATTACAAGTTGGTGTCATTGCATAAGGTTTCCCACATAACCACTACACCAAGACTTCAGCCTGGAGTTGACGAGGGCCAGGAATTGATGTGATCTTAAATCTGAAAAACAAAATTACATTTATGATGCAGTCTGTAATTAGCACTAGTCCAATACCCCCCCTCCCCCAACCTTCCAGAGCCAGCCCCTAGTATCCCCCCACCCTTACCATAGTGTTAATACCTGGCTGCATCATCGATTTATTACAGTGGGGACAATTTGCTTGGCTCCATGTATTGGATTCACACCAGTCCCTGCCCTGAGCTTACAATCGAAGGACTCTTGTGTACATACACATGCCAGGACCATTTAAATGAGCAGCATATCTTTCGAAGTGTGTGAGGAAACCCATGTATGTGTAGGAAAAACATACAAACTCCCATGCAGGCATGTGTTCTCAGTGCTGCTAGTGCCCTTTGTACCGATACAGTTGTGTCTTCTTCATGTTTAAGGGGTTAGCTGTACAGTTGAGATCTTCTGTCCCGACATGTTGGTGTGTTTAGTAAATGTATAAATTAATCCTCAAACGGGCGGACTGACCATTTGGAAACTCAGGCAGTGCCCGAGGGCCCGGGTTCAGTAGGGGGCCCCATGAGATGCCCCTGGTACCTTTTTCATAGGCTTTTTTGAGTTTGGGCAAGGACACAGGGGCCCCATGATCCCCTATTGCCCGGGGGCCCCATGAGTTGTCAGTCCGCCCCTGTCCTCAAGTAGTTTCCTTCTTTTTTTTTTTTTTGTTATAAATGGCCAAAATGTTATAATAGAAACTAAGAAAAAAAAAAATTTTTTTTTCAAAATTTTTGCTTTTATGAACAATGGCGGGAGTAGGATAATAACCTGAACACAGGGCGTTTTATGAGGAAATGTCTTTATTACACTCTCAGGCATCACATCTCACACACAGGCCGCGGAGGCTGAACATGGCGGCTCCTCCTCAGCTTTTCCCGCCTCTCTCGTCCCCGCCCCCCGGCCGGCGCCATGGTGCCCGGTGCGGTGTGGAAGGCGCTGTGTACGGCGGTGTTGGTATCGGTGGGTCTGGAGGGGTTGTTCCGGTATTGGAGGAGGCGGAGGAGGGCGGTGAGGGAAGTTCTGTTCTTCCCGGTCCCGATGAGCTGTACGGAGGGGGTCCTGGTCCCCGGGCTCCGGTGTATGTGCGCGCTCCCTCACACCGACTCGGACAGTGCCCTCCACCGACTGATGAGGCGCCTCCTGGAGGCCCGGAGGACTCTGGAGATCTGCATCTTCACCTTCTCCTGTCCGCCGCTCGGCCAGGCCGTCCTCCTCCTCCACCACCGGGGGGTCCGAGTCCGGGTCATCACCGACAGAGACTACATGGCGGCCGCCGGCTCCCAGATAGGAGCGCTGAGGAAGGCGGGTGAGGAGGAAAGTCAGGGCTGGTATGGAAGGGGGGAGACGGTAGAGGCCGGGCCTGGTATGGGCGAGGGGGTAAGGGAAAGGCCTGGGGGGGGTAGAGGTCTGGGAGGGGAGCAGAGGCTGGGCCTGGTATTTGGGGGAGGGGGGGTTTGAGGGAAAGGCCTGGTATGGGGGGTGTAAAGACCAGGCTTGGTATGGAAGGGGGGGGGGGCAGTAAAGGCCTGGCATGGGGGGGGGGGGGGGGTTAGAGGCTGGGTCTGGTACGGGAGAGGGGGGAGGGCAGAGGGCCGGGCCTGGTATTGGGGGGGGGGGGGGGTAAAGGCCGGGCCTGGTATTGGGGGGGGGGGGGGGTGGTAAAGGCCGGGCCTGGTATTTGGGGGGGGGGGTAAAGGCCGGGCCTGGTATATGGGGGGGGGTGTAAAGGCCGGGCCTGGCATGGGGGGGGGGTGTAAAGGCCTGGCCTGGCATGGGGGGGGGGGTGTAAAGGCCTGGCCTGGCATGGGGGGGGGGTGTAAAGGCCTGGCCTGGCATGGGGGGGTGTAAAGGCTGGGCCTGGCATGGGGGGGTGTAAAGGCCGGGCCTGATATGGGAGGAGGGGGGGTGTAAAGGCCGGGCCTGATATGGGAGGAGGGGGGGTGTAAAGACCGGGTCTGGTATGGGGGGGGGAGGAGGGGGGGTAGAGGTTGGACCTGGTACGGAAGGGGAGGGGCAGAGGCTGGGCCTGGTATGGGGGGGTAAGGGAAAGGCCTGAAATGGGGAGGTTAGAGGCTGGGCCTGGTACGGAAGAGGCTGGGCCTGGTGGGGGGGGGGGGGGTAAGGGAAAGACCTGGTATTGGGGGGGGGGAAGGGGGTCAAGCCCAGGCCTGGTATGGGGGGGGTAAAGCCCAGGCCTGGTATATGGGGGTAGAGGCTGGGCCTGGCATGGGGGGGGGGGTGTAAAGGCTGGGCCTGGTATGGAAGGGGGTGGGTGTAGAGGCTGGGCCTGGTATGGGGGGGGGTGTGTGTGTAAGTGAAGGGCCTGGTATGGGGGGTAAAGACTGGGCCTGGTATATGGGGGGGGGGGGGGAGGGGGGGTAGGTAGAGTCCAGGCCTGGTATGGGGGGGGGGGGGGGGGTGGAGGCCGGGAGAAAAAAAAAAAAACATTTTTGTTTTTTGCTATTAAACATGTCCAGTAAAAAAAAAAAATTAAAAATCAAATAAATTTGCAGGTCAAACACCCCCGGGGGGGGGGCTCTACAGCATACAGTGATGGTAAATTGAGTGGGTTATGTTTCCAGGATAAGGATAGCCCTTCACTGAATGATATTACTTGTTCCCCGGAGTTGCTCTTTAACACGCACCCTTTTCTTTTGCAGGGATTGTGGTCCGTCACAGTCAGTCGTCTGGTTTCATGCACCATAAGTTTGTGGTGATAGATCAGGCACTTGTGATCACGGGATCCATGAACTGGACTGTACAGGCCATTCAGGCAAACAAGGAGAATCTTCTCATTACAGATGACCAGGTCTTTGTGAGTGCGTACCTGCAGGAGTTCCAGCGGCTTTGGGAGGAGTATGACCCCGCCACCTACGATTTCTTCCCAGAGAAAGATAAGTCATAGAGATCCCTGACTTTGAGAAGGTCAATGGCAAACCATGTCACTTTGGTTTTAAAACTGCAAGTTTTTTGTTTATTTTTTTAAATTGCATTTTTTTTTTTTTTTTACCTTTTCAGTAAAGCTCCAAAAGCCTCTGATCTGGGACAGTGTGTCATTTCACTACTAATACACAGTGTTTTGTTAAATATTTTGTTTTGTAGTTGTATTGTTTTTATGTTACTGTAATCTGAAAATGCCTTATTGGGCCAGTTTGACAGCTCATTGATCCGTGAATATTGTGATTTGTTACATCTATATAAAATTTTCAAGTAATTGAGGTAAAGAACATTTCACTTACTGAAAACTGTGTCGAATCTACATTTCTCAATTCTGTTTAACACTACAGAGCAGCAGTTCCTAACCTGAGCTACAAATACCCCCAGAGCTGCTTGGCAGCATGTTTAGGGGTACTGCAGATTAACCACTTCCAGTCCGGACACTTTCCCCCCCTTCCTGACCAGGGCAATTTTCAGCTTTCAGCGCTATCACGCTTTGAATGACAATTACGCAGTCATGCAACACTGTACCCAAATGAATTTTTTACCATTTTTTTGAAACAGATAAGGCTTTATTTTGGTGGTATTTATTCACCGCTGGGATTTTTATTTTTTTTGCTATGTAAATGAAAAAGTTCAAAAATTTTGAAAAAAAGTGTTTTTTTTTAAATAAAATTTTGCAAATAAATAATATTTCATCATAAATCTTTGCCAAAATTTATTCAGTTATCTTTTTAGTAAAAAAAAAACAAAAAAATCCAAATTAGTTTATAACAAAAATTATAATTTTTAAACTTTTTTTTTACATTTTTATTTTATATATATTTTTTTTTTTTTTTTTTTTACATACTGTCACCCTAGCAGTACAGTGTCACCATGGTGACACTGTACTACTTGTGGGGGGTGATGAAGATTTTTTTTTTTTTTTTTTTTTTGCACATTGCTTTTACACCCATATAGGATGTAAAAGCAATCATTTTTCTTTCTCTCTGTCTGCATACATGCACTCATTGAGAAGTACTGACTGAGCTGTGATTGGTCACAGCTTGTCACATGGTACAAGCCTGTTGTGAATAGCCTTGTACCATGTGACCTCTGTGATCATTCACAGATTTCACACATAGTAAGCAATGATGTCACAAGTGACATCTTGCTTACTACTTTGCATGTGATCACTGATTGGCCAATCAGTGATCACATGATCGGGACCTCGTTCAGAGGTCCTGTTCGACGATCAGTGTTTCACTGTGCTCCCAGGGAGCGCGCACAAGCAGGGTGCGGGGAGGCCGTTTATAGACGGCCACTCGACCCTGCAGTGCCACCGTCCGGCCGTTTATATGCAACGGCCGGTCGGGAAGTGGTTAATGTACTAGTGGGAAAAAGTGCAGAAAGTCCTTTGGAAGTTACCTGCTCCACTCTGCAGAATCCATCCTCTTCACTGCACTATCCACAGAGTACTGAAAGCTCTGTTGCAGCCCTCCTTAACCCCTCGCCCTCCAGAGGATTTACCCCCCTTCCTGACCAGGCCATTTTTTTGAGTTTCTACGCTGCGTTACTTTAACTGACAGTTGCGCGGTCATGCAACTCTGAACCCAAATTAAATTTGTCTCCTTTTCCCCACAAATTGAGCTTTCTTTTGGTGCTATTTGATCTCCTGTGCGTTTTTTTTTTGTTTTTTTTGCACTATAAAAAATAAAAGATTCAACAATTTTGAGGAAAAAAAACATTATTTTAGACTTATTGCTATTAAACATGTCCAGTAAAAAAAAATGTAAAAATCAAATTGTCATAAATTTAGGCCAAAATTTATTCTGCTTCATATCTTTGCTAAAAAAAAATCCCAATATGTGTAAATTAATTGGTTCACGTAAAAGTTATAGCATTTGCAAATGGTGTATGCTGGGATTTTTTTTTTTTTTTTTTTACTGTTTACTAGTAATGGCGGCGATGAGCGACTTCTAACGGGACATTCTGACGGGGGGGCTGACTTGGTGTCACTGACATCCACATTGACACTCCTGTAAGAGTTCTCATTGGACAAAGGTGTCTTCACTGAAGGTTTATCACCAATCCTTGTTTCCAGGACAACCTACCATATTCAAAATCCAATTATCACAGGGACAGAAGGTGAGGTGAAATCTTCAGAACATGGGTACAGACAGCAAAACAAAAATTAGAGGGATGTTAACCCTTCCATATGCTATCAAAAAAAACCTTAAAAATAATTTTTTTTTTTGGCTACAGTTTAAAAAATGTAGCTGTTCCAACTTGCATACAAATTCAACTTAAAGTGTTACTAAACCCCGGACCCTGCAGTCACTGGATCGGGTCCTCCCCCCCCGGGACCCTGCAGTCACTGGATCGGGTCCTCCCCCCGGACCCCCCCGCAGTCACTGGATCGGGTCCTCCCCCCGGACCCTGCAGTCACTGGATCGGGTCCTCCCCCCGGACCCTGCAGTCACTGGATCGGGTCCTCCCCCCCCCCGGACCCTGCAGTCACTGGATCGGGTCCTCCCCCCGGACCCTGCAGTCACTGGATCGGGTCCTCCCCCCGGACCCTGCAGTCACTGGATCGGGTCCTCCTCCCCCCCCCCGGACCCTGCAGTCACTGGATCGGGTCCTCCCCCCGACCCTGCAGTCACTGGATCGGGTCCTCCCCCGGACCCTGCAGTCACTGGATCGGGTCCTCCCCCCCGGGACCCTGCAGTCACTGGATCGGGTCCTCCCCCGGACCCTGCAGTCACTGGATCGGTCACTGGATCCTCCCCCGGACCCTGCAGTCACTGGATCGGGTCCTCCCCCCGGACCCTGCAGTCACTGGATCGGGTCCTCCCCCCGGACCCTGCAGTCACTGGATCGGGTCCTCCCCCCGGACCCTGCAGTCACTGGATCGGGTCCTCCCCCCGGACCCTGCAGTCACTGGATCGGGTCCTCCCCCCCCGGACCCTGCAGTCACTGGATCGGGTCCTCCCCCCGGGACCCTGCAGTCACTGGATCGGGTCCTCCCCCCGGACCCTGCAGTCACTGGATCGGGTCCTCCCCCCGGACCCTGCAGTCACTGGATCGGGTCCTTCTCTGCAGTCACTGGATCGGGTCCTCCCCCGGACCCTGCAGTCACTATACCTGGTTTCCCCCAGTACACAGAACATGGAAATGCAATTATTTTAGTAAATAGAAACTGCTAAATACCTTTTCTCATCAGCAGTTAGAGCAGTCTTGTGACTTCTATCAGTGTCCAGCAGAGCACTGGTTAAAGCTTGTAGGAGGAGTTTTCTCTAGCAGGATGCAGAACCCTTGACCTCTGTCTGGGACGTACTGATCACATGCACTCTCCCAAGAAAAAAAAAAACCTTCTCTAGCAATATACACCAAATTGAGCATGTGCAGAGTGTCTCCATATGATATGTCTTATCAGGAGATAAAAGGGAGACACTGTTAGAAAGGGAGGATTAGAGGAGACAGGATCAAACAGCATTTTTTACAGTTGCAGAGGATTAACCCCTTAGGTTCCACAGTGAGTATAACAAGCATGCTTTACTGCATCTACAGACTGATTGTACTGTTGTGGGTTTAGTAACACTTTAAGAACAAACCTTCGTATTCCAGGGACTGCCCGTACCTAAAGTTGCTTACCTACCCCTGTACAGTGAGCCATGCATGCGCAATTCACTGCACAAATTTAGCAATGCTGAATCTGACTGACGTTATCCCCGCCTGGCCAAATGACAGTGGCTGACGATAGAGACTCAGAAGTCAGCCGCCCAAAGATGTCAGCAGCTGGGCGGGGAGCAGCGGGACGCCGCATTGCTGGAGCAGAGGTGAATAGAGTTCTGTTTTAGGTCCGTTTCACACGGACGTTCTGCTTGTCTATTTTTTCATGTGCGCCCAATGAGAACCTCTGTTCTCCTGTATGGATCAGTGGGTGTAAACGGACATGTGCCCGTTTACAGCCACCTACATCTGATCCACCAAAAAGAGACCGATGGGGATCCGTTCCCCTTCTGTCCAGTAGATCAGATGGCAGTCGGGTATAAACAGACAGGTGGTCTGTTTACATTTGACTGCCCATAGAGGAGAGTGGGCTGCGCTCTGCATAAGCGGAGTGGACATGGACCTGTCATCTGCCTGTTCATTGGGGATCAGAGGACAGATCCCCTGCTGAGCAAGCGGATTGCAGTTACAGTCCACCCCACATGAAAGGGGACTTAAACTGTAACATACAGGCGAGCCACCAGACTGTACCCTTGCTTCATGGTCTAGACAACCTGCGGCTCTCTAGCTGTTGTGGAACTACATTTCCCATGAGGCATTGCAACATTACAAAACTGACAGTTACAGCTATGACTTGCAGAGGCATGATGGAACTTGTAGTCCTGCAACAGCTGGAGAGCCACAGGTTACCTACCCCTGGTCTGGGCACTCCTCATGAAGGGATGTCTAACCCTCCAACACACCTAAACCCCAGAGGAGCTCCAGATATATAGAATCCAGTGCCTCATTCTAAACCATTCCAAAGACAACACTGGACACACCACTACAATATGATACAACACGAAGAGCACCCCCCCCCCCCCCCGCACGCTTCCAGCTCCCTCTCGCATCACACTGACACAGCCCCCCCCAGTCATCTTCCAGGACAGCCCATGAGACCTAAAGCTCCGTCTACCAGGACAGGAAATGCGTTGCTGGGTCAAAGATTAAAAGGGGGTCTTCCAGGCCCTGTCCCCAGATTTAGTGTTTCCTTTGCATGGAGGAGGTGTATTGCCTATGGGACCTTTGGTGGAGGCCCTATTCTCTGGGCTGTCCTATTTTACCTTACTACTGTGCTTACCCTTCCAAGGCCCCTCCTCTGTTTGGGCAGGTACACCCCAAAGAGCCTCCCAACACCGCCTCCCAGCTCCCCCCTTCTTCACACTAATATAGACACATTCCTTCTGCTTCCACACTCCCACCCCCCTCCTCACTTTT